CCTGCCTCCTCTGAGACCCTCTTCCTCCTGCTCCCACCAGGAGCTCTCTCAGCACTGCCAACCCCTCGGGGGCACCCGTACCCCTTCTTTCCTTCAAATGCCCTCAGGCCTCCCATCTCTAAGTTCTCCTTGAGTCTGCCCTTACCCCTGTCCGCACCCTCTCCTTCCTTTCTCCCCATTTGGAGCTGGAGTTTGCTGCCTGCTCTCACTTTCCCCGCACCCCACCAACTGCACTAAGGAAATGGCCCTGTGGGAGGCCGCCGGGACCTCCAGGGCCAATGCTGGCTTCCGCTGCCCCCACTCAGGCTGCCCTGCGGCACTCAGCACTGTGGGTGCTCCCTTCAGGGCGGCGGGGAACAGGTGTGTGAGTGCAGGGGCTCCCCCTGCCACAGTTCCCAGGCGTCCTCCCCACTCCCTCTCGGCTTTGCCTCCTCCTCCCTGGTCCCCTGGTTTCCTAGTGGTGGTCCTTGCCACTCCCCTTCCTCTGTTCTCACTTCCACATGAGAGGCCCCCAAATCCACAGGGTCAACAGTCTGTCCCCTCGCTCAATTCCAGAACTGGGCACCTTGGGGCTTTCCTCAGAGTTCTCCCTGGGCCAGAATGCTTTCTACCTCTGCACGCCCTTGGGTCAAACCACTGCCTCCAGAGGCCTCAGGAGTGTTCCCAGCCCAGGGACTGGAGAACCCCTGGGTGTTGACTCTCTGGCTTCTCGGCTGCTTTTCTATCTTGTGTTGATCTGCCAGCCAGCACATTTATTCATTCACTTATTCAAAAAATACTTAACACGTTGGGGGCTGTGATGCTTCGAAGGTAGGAATGAGCAAGACAGGTCATCTTCCCACAAGGGCGTGCAGACCTGTGGGCTTAGGAGGTAGGGTCTGTATCCCAGTCTGCCCCTTCTTGCCCCCTGCCCAACTCATGGACACAGTTCACTCAAAGGAAACTGAAGGCACTCTGTTGCTCAGTGGGGATGGGGACAGGGCTTGGTGCCCAAGGTTAGGCAGGAAGAGAGGCAGGGCAGCTGGTGGGGGTGCGGGGCTGCAGAGGGAGCCTGCGGCTGGCTGGGCAAGGGGAGAGCTGTGGGCAGCTGCCCCGCCTCAGCTTAATTCCCTGGGCAAACAGCAGCATTGGGAGGGCTGCCCACCTCAATCCCGCTGCGGCTCTGACTTCAAAGGGCTCTGGGGGCTGTGGGCGGGGTGGGCTTCGTGGAGGTGTGCACACCTGTCCAATTCCTGGAACTCCTGTTTTCCTGGGAGCGCGGGTCCTGAGGCTCAGACCTCTCTGTCCTCAGAACAAGGTGGTGCGGCCCAAGGGCAGGTGAGGGGCTGGTGGGAGTCAGTTCAGGACTGTGCTGGAAGGCTATCAGGGGCCAGTAGGGAGACCCTCAGCCCTGACAGCCCCCTCCGTTATGGTACCCCCACCTCTCCTTGCCCTGCAGTTCAGGCTGGGTGGCTTCTGAGGGACAATGTCCTTCCAGTTGGCCCCTGCCAACTTCTGACGCAGACAGGGAAGGTTCAAGCCCCAGCACGCCCGGTAGCTCTGACCTGCCCACCTGGGAGCTACAGAGTGGAGCAGACACAGGTGCCCCGGGAAGAAGGCAGCCCCTGAGGGCCTCCTGCGCTTCACTTGCTCCTCAGCTCACACCAGTCAGTGAGGCTTTGGATGGGGGGCTCACAAAGCCCCCTCCCCTGCTCGAGGTGCACCTCCCCCCCCCAGCCTGCCGTCTTGTCACCTGTGTTTTCCTTCTCATCAAACAAGAAAGTGTCAGCAGGACCCAGGCTCCTCCCCCACCCCATTGTTAACAAGGCTGGCTTGGCGGCCCCTCCCCACGTCCCCACCCCCGACAGGCCCAGGCCTGCCCCAAGGGACCAGCCCACTGCCCCCTGCCGGGAGCGCACCTACACCTATTTACCTTTGGACTTCAGCCCAGGAGGGAGGTGCACCTGACCCTCCACCGCCCCGCCTTCCTTCCTGCCCTCCAGCTCACCCTCTTCCAGCAAGTCTGGGTCCTGGGGCAGGGGAGGAGGTGGAGAGCCATTCCTGGCTCCTGCCCCAGATGGAGCTCAGCTCTGCAGGGGGCCTGAAGTGTTCGTCCCAGCGGAGCATAAAGTGCGAGGTTGAGGGGGATCCCTGGGGACCTTCCAGACCTGAGAGTCACTGGGCCCCGGGTGGCCTGTCCTATGGAACAGGATGTGCCCTGGGGAGGGAAGGGGAGCCGTGCAAGGTCTGAGCTCCTGGCCTTTCCTCCCACATCCTGGCCCTCCCCACCCTCTTCATCACATTCCTAGCTGGGGGTTACAGTGGGAAGACAGAATGGGGAAGAGGCAGGAAATTCTGGGACAGAAGGGTGGCTCTGTGCTTTGGGAATGGGCTTCCCCCAACACTTAAAGTGAAGTGGGGCTGGGCACGATGGCTCACTCCTGACATCCCAGCACTTTGGGAGCCCGAGGCGGGCGGATCACTTGAGGATCCAGCCTGGCCAACATGGTGAAACCCCGTCTCTACTAAAAATACAAAATTATCCAGGCATGGTGGTGCACGCCTGTTATCCCAGCTGCTCAGAAGGCTGAGGCAGGAGAATCGCTTGAACCTGGGAGGTAGAGGTTGCAGTAAGCCGAGTTTGTGCCACTGCACTCCAGCCTGAGCGACAAAGCAAGACTCTGTCTCAAAACAAAGCAAAACAAAAAGAGGTGGTTCGGGGGGGCTGTCACATGCAGCAGGGGCTGGTTACCCCAAAAGTGGAGGTTGCAGGTTAGAATGAAAAAAGATGAGGAACCTGCCCAGGGAACTTGAGTTATGAGCTCAAAGCCACACAGCTCCAAAGAGATAGGACAGTGAATGAACAGTGATCTCGGATTGGGATGCTGGCACAGGGAGGAGCGTGATGGGGCAATCTGCAGAGTTTGAATGGGGTCTGTGGATTAGATGGGATTATCAGGCCAGTGCTAATTTCCTGATTTTTTTTTTTTTTTTTTTTGAGACATGGTGTTACTCTGCCACCCATGCAGGAATGCAGTGGTGCAATCACAGCTCACTGAAGCCTTGACCTCGTGGGCTCAGCTCAGGCAATTCTCCTGCCTCAGCCTCCTGTGTAGAGAGTAGCTGGGACCACAGATGCACACCTCCATGCCTGGCTGATTTTAAAAATTATCTGGAGAGGCTGGGTGCGGTGGCTCACGCCTGTAATCCCAGCACTTTGGGAGGCTGAGGTGGGTGGATCACGAGGTCAGGAGATCGAGACCATCCTGGCTAACACGGTGAAACCCCGTCTCTACTAAAAATCCAAAAAATTAGCCGGGCGTGGTGGCGGGCGCCTGTAGTCCCAGCTACTCGGGAGGCTGAGGCAGGAGAATGGCAGTGGGATTTTTCAGGAGCCTCCAGGTGACTGTCAAGCTGGGGCAAACCTTGATCTGCTTCTCAGGCCTGGTGCTCCCCCAGTAGGGGGTCCTGCTTGCCCCAGACATTGCCCCTCTTCCCCCCAGCACAGGCCTGGGGCACACAGCTACACGCCCCGCCTGTCAGTCCAAAGTGGGAGGCTGATCCTGTGGGGAAAAGGCTGGAGCCCACCTTGTTCCCCAATGCTGAGGTCCATGAAGAGGAAGCGGGTGGACAGTGGGGAGAAGGAGGGGGAGTCGCTTGCGGGGTGAAGGGAATTGAGGCAGTCCTCAGCCTGCCTTCCTGGACCTGCAGGCTGCGTGCCCTCCTGCAGTATTTAGAATAATTAGCAAGTGAAAGCAGCCAGTTAGCAGGGGAATGCCAGGTTGGCCTAGAGCCAAGCTCGAGGATGGAGAAAGAAAGGGGCTTTGGGAGAAAGGGGTCCGTGGAGGCTGGACAGGAATGCTTGGGACGTTGCCTGTTTGTGCCCCTGTGTGTGTGCGCCCGTGTGCGAGCTCGTGTGCAAGGAAGTGGCTCTGGAGGTGTCGTGCACCCGTGAGGGTGTATATGTGGCGAGGACTGAGTTGGGAGGTGGCTCCCAGGCAAAGCAAGGGGAAGGGGATTGAAAGGTGCTGGCTGTCACCCAGACACAAATTTCCCGTGCCTCAGTTTCCCCATCAGAACTCTGGTAGTCTGGCTCCTGCCACTGTAGGTGAGAGGGGCGGGCCTGAGCTCACTCCTTTCCCTGGTGGCCTTCCTCCTCCCCAAACCTGTGTTGGGCCAGGTTGTGTGGGAAGTGAGGGCCCTGGGGCTGGGTCCCTCCAGGAGAGGACCAAGTGAGGGAGGTGCTGGAGACCAGCCCAGGCCGGGGATGGCCGACTGGGGCAGGCCGGCCCGGGCAAGCCCTCGCAGCGGGGGACAGCAGGGGCCGAGCCCAGGACACACTTAGCCTTTGAGTTCCCCGGGTCTGGGGGCGGGGGCCACTCCTCCTCCCTTTGTCTCCTGATCCCCCAGGGCTGTGGGCCTCGGTCTCCCCATTGCACGGATGGAGCCACCGAGGCCTAGGTTCCAGGGGACATCCGAGAGCCACCCCTCAGTCCCTTCCTCCCCGGGGATGCTGAGGTCATGGGGAGTTCGTCAGTGTTCTTTGCAGGCCCTAAGTGCCCCCGCATCTTCCTCTCAGTCATCCCTCACTCCAGCAAAGAGGCGCTGCCCCTCCCGAACACGGAGCCCTCACCTGTTCCCAAAGAAAGTTTGGAGAGGAGCCATATTTAGATTTTTAAAAATTTTATTTTTAAAAACTTTTCATTGTAAATAACTTCCATGAAAAAGGTTAAATTGCCCCAAGGGGCAGGAGGGTGGATGTGGGACGCAGCCCAGGGGATCCAGGTGGAGCAAGGCATGCCCCACGCCCCCGAGGAATGCAGGCAGGGGCATGGGGTTACCCCTTCTTGGTCCCAGTAGTTCCAGCAAGCTCGGTGGCCCTCCCAGTTAAGCCTCAGCTACAGCTACACTCACTACATTAGTCTGTCCGTCCTGCCCTCTACAGCTTGGATGCCCCGGCCCCCAAACCGCCAAATCCGAACTTCCTGCTGCTCTCAGCTTCAAGTTGGGCTTAAAGATTAGGGGCCAGGCAAAGATCCCAGAGGCCTTACAGAGGATCTCCTTGCCCAACCCTGTGCCCCCACCTCATTTTGATCTCCTCTCTCTGCCCCCTCCCCCAGTCCATATTCTGCTCAGCTCTGCCCCATCCACTGCCTGCCCCCGGCCCCAGGGAGGCTCTGCAGGGAGAAGCCTCCAGGGGGTTAATTTGCTGTCATCTAACTAGCATTTGTGGTACCGGGGGATTCTCTCTGGATAGAGACCTGGGGAAGCAGCGGGGAAGCGGAGGTGCTCTGGGAGGGCCCGGTTCTGTTCCTCCCCAGCCTGACCTGGGCCCCTCCAGGCCTAGGCTCTCACGGCGAAGGGCCCTTTAGCTGGTTTCTGGGGCTGGGAAGACGCGGAGCAATGAAACACTGTGTGTACAAGGGGGGCTGGGGAGAGGAGGCAGCGATTCTGGTCCTGGGCCCTCGTTCTCAGCCTCCTGGGCTTGAATCTGATGGCAGCTGGGGCTGGTGGCCATGTGGCCTTGTGGGGCCAGCCTTGGAGCCCTGGCCCAGCCCCTGCCTGGGTGGTGGGGTGTCTGTGGACCTGTGTTGGGGAGTAGTTCTAGGCCCTGACTTGGGCACTGTCCAGAGGTGGGGCAGGGCCTGGCCTCTTACAAGAAGGCCCCCACGCTGGCCCAGTCCTGCAGGTCGGAGGCCAGGGTGGCGTCCCCGGCCTCAAAGAGGGGCTCCGGGGGCAGGCAGCCACTGCCGCTCTCGTCCCAGGGGTGCTGCAGGAAGGATGTGGCCAGGAAGGTCTCGTCGAAGTCCAGGCTGTCGGCAGCCTGCTCCACCGAAGGCCCCCAGGTGGCGGGGCAGTCGATGTGGCGACCGTGGATGGTGAGGTCCACGTCCACGTGTGAGGCGGGGCTCAGAGGTGGGCTCAGCTCCAGGGCCTCCAGCGCACCCAGCTCCCCGCCCAGAGTGCCGGTGTCGAAGATGGCCTCCCAGTCAAAGTTGCCTTTGAGGGGTTCCAGCTCACCCTGCTCCTCTGGGGTGGGCAGCAGGGTGCTGGGGGGCCGCGGGACCTTGGCTACCCGCTTGGGCAGCGGCTGTTTGCGCTTATGCCCCAGCCTGCCCTCGCCTGCACCCCAGCCTGCCTCCCCGGTGGCCTCCTCGAACTCCCGCAGTAGCTGCTGGGCCTCGGTGTTCACCGTCAGCAGCCCGGCCCGGGGGACAGCGCTGGGCTCCTGCGCAGCCTGGCGGGCAAAGGCTGGGTGGATGTGGACAGGGGGCAGCCGCCGCTTCTTGAAAGCCCCGCTCAGCAGCCGCTCCGCGTACTGGGGGTCGATGCGCCAGAAGCCGCCCTTGCCTGGTTCGTCCTTCTCCCGAGGCACTTTGATGAAGCACTTGTTCAGAGACAGATTGTGGCGGATTGAATTCTGGGTGCAGGGAGAGAGTGAGAGAGAGAGGAACCGCTGGGTCAGTGGGGATGGGGAGACGAAGTGGCACCTGGTGCTCCTGCACGCCCCCCATCTTTTCTCTGGCAGGGGAGAGGAGGTGGGGACAGACACGCTGCTCTGCCCAGGCGGCTGCGGCTCTGGGACACCAGCCACAGGGCACTGGAAGCCCGGAGTGCTGTCGGGGGCTTTTGTTCCCTGTTGCCGGGATATCTGCCTGCTCAGTCATCCGAGCTCTGAGCTGCAGGGTGGCTCTCGGTGCCACCCCCGTCGCCTACCCTCCCTCCCTCACCCTGCCGCTCACAGCCTCTGGCCAAAGCCCTTGGCTCCCCCAGGGCCTGGACCACCACCTCCCTTTGCCTGGGCCTGGCTGGCCCTCTGTGTGAGTGAGTGGGTCCAGGGAGGGGGCTGGGCAGCCGAGGATGGAGAGGTGGGGGAGAGAGAGAGCGAGTGAGCGAGTGAGCAGGGATGAGGAGTGGGGGATCTGATGACTTTTCTTGTTTGTTGAGCCGGCTGCTGGCCTGGGCCTTCACCCCCCACGGCCCCCTCCCCCTACTCCAGGCTCAGTTGATTATTACCCAGCCAAGAGCTAAGAGCATAGCACTCATTCCTTGGGCCTGTTTCCCAAAGCCAAGCTGCACAGGCTTAGGGTAGGGTGGGGCTGAGGGTCTCTGCTTTTTCGGTGCAGCTACAAATGACACTGCTCTAGGGTCAGGGGCATTGGAAATGGCTTGGGACTGTGGTCCTGTGGCCTGCCTGCTTTGGGTGCTTCAGGGAAGAGTCTGGATGTCCTTGGAGGGGCTCTGCCTCCAGCTAGCCCTTGATGGTGATGGCTAAAGACTCTTAGGGCACTGTCTACCCAGCCTCAAATCCACCATCCTCCTGCCTTGTCTATTCTTAGGTGCTTAATCGTGTCCAAAGATTGCTGGGGGACAGGGGTCCTGGGTTGGCACGGCAGGGCAGATGGGTGGATAGTGCCCCGCAGCAAGGCTGGGATGTTTACATGGTGGCCTGGGCCCCTTGGCTGCTCAGTGCCTGGTTCCGGAGACGTGGAACATGATGCCAGTGTGGTAGGCAGAGCCCCTGTGGAAGGCACCTGGCTCAGGTAATTGTCCCCCCAGGGAGGTTGGCTGAGAGTGGGGGTTGGAGGCAGGAAACTGAGCAGAGGTTGAGGTGGGGGGCTGGGACAGCAGCTTTAGGAAGGCCTCTTACTCCGTTGACCCTCCACTGGGACACATGCTACAGCACCCCTTCCATTTCACCCTCCCCAAGCCAACTGCAAAAGGGCAGGACATAGAGCCTGGCAGGCAGGCCACGTTCCAGTTTCCGTTTCTGACTCCCCGCCCGACAAACCATCCCAGGGCAGGGCAGTGTCTAGGAATTCCAGGACTTGGGACAAGAATGTGCCTTCAGTTCATCGCTCTCCCCAAGGAGACTCTGTCCACGCAGAGTCTGGCCGTGGTCTTTGGCCTGGGCCTGCTGGATGAATGGCAGGTGCTTGCCCCTTGAATCTCAGCCTCTGCACCCCTAATGCCCTCCACCTCTAGACATTCTCCCTTCTCTCTCTCTCTGGAAGTCAAAGGAGGGGCAGTTGCAAGAACTGGGCTCCTTTGCAGTGCTCCCTTCTGGCCGCACCGAGCCTACTTGGCCTGAAGATTAGGGATATGAATCCAGTGCAGTGTGGGGAGCGAGGAGGGCATGGGGAGGAAGCCGCCGCCGCCCGTGCCTACTCTACCTGCCAGGTGGGATCTGCGTGGCGGAAGTAGCAGAAGTTGTCCGTGATCCACTTGTAGATGGCCGACAGGGTGATCTTGGTGGCCTTGCTGGCCTGCATGGCCATGCAGATGAGCGTGGCATACGAGTAGGGAGGCTTCACGTGCGGGTTGGTGGCGTAGTCCACGTCGTCGGGGGGCGGGGCCTGCAGCCCCGGGGGCGCGCTCCGCG